TTTACACTGAGCCAGTTAATTAAAACCGTGCTCTGTGAGCACACAACACTGTTGTGGCTGGCTCTTGAGATAACTTTTGCTGTTCTTCATAAGCAGCTAGGCTTCCTTTATGACATCTTTGCCCAGCCACACTGCACCATGGAATAGCCAACCAACTTGGGGTTTGACTGCTGAGTAAGCACTTTGTGCAGAAGCAGAATGTATGGGGCAACAGACCTAAAAACCAACACTACCCACCAAGCCAGTGTTGGTGAGGCAAGGGCTCATGTTAATTAATGTTTATAAAGTGACTGGGGATCCCCAAAATGAAAAAGACTATTTAAAATCCCCAAAGTATTATTATTATCACCAGTAGGAATAATCTTTTTTATAAGAAGCCATTATTATCTAGTGCCTACTATGTGGCAGGTATTTTCACATACTTGATCTGATTTAATTCTTTAAATCACCCTATGTGGTAAGTTTGAGTTTTTTATGTTTTTTGAGGGGGGGTTAGGTGGAGGATAATCCTCACTGTACAGGTTAAGAAAACCAAATTCAGCAAAATTAATTCACTTGCTACACAGAAGCAGAACCATGATTCCAAATTAGATCTTGCCTCTTTCAGTTTTCCTTAAAATTCTTTCTATATTTATTTTTTAAATATCTATACCTCCTTAATACCTGGGAGACATCCAGTAAGACTGAGTAACTCACGCAGAGCAGATGGCTTCAGATGTCACCTTTTTTTTTTTAAGATTTATTTATTTTTATGCAAGAACCGGGGTACAGGCCAGATGCACGGGAGGGTGAGAGGATTCACCAGAGACAGAGCGGGGAACAGAACAGGCAGACTGACGAAATACACTGCTGAGGGAAGCAGTGGGCGAGACAGACAGGAGAGGTCTGCCATGCCATGTGGGATTCTCGCTGGCCGGGATGGAACCCGCACTGCAGAGGCTGTGGACAGCTTCACAGTGAGGTGCTCAACCGCCTGTGCCACCAGGGAGGCCCTCTTTCTATATTTAAAACAAGATTTCACTCAAAGATGTTTATGGCTTTTGGGGGGAGGGTATTTCTTTTTTTATGAAAGTATATTTTACAATCCAGGAAACACACAGATCTTAAAGATATGATACAATATGAACGGACCTCTAAAGCTACACCCTATCAATAAAGGGACATTTCCATTACCCCAGAAAGTTCTCTAGTGCCCCTTCACTATAGATGCCTTTAAAAAATAATACAACAAATGAAATGAGCTACCTTCTTTTGACCAAGACAATATTTTTACTACTTTGGCAGTGGAGTTACGCCCCTGGGGTCAATCCCTGATGGAGTTACAATGAATTATTTGATGGGGAAGAGGAACTGAGTTAAAATTCTATACTATCATCTCAGATCTTCAAATGAGCTGAAAATAAGCATAAGAAAACAGCCCTAAAGGACAAAATGGTTACCACAAAGTCCATGCCCTAAGCCCATACATGTGATTTTCCTGAACCCTAAGCCCCCTCACTTACAGCCAGTGACCTTTTGCTTTCTGTGTGGAGTCCATGTAGTTTGTGTCATGATTCCTCAGTTTAAAAGCAGCAAATGAAAAGCGTGAGCAAGTGCAGAGATGGCAGTAAGAAGGGGCAACCAAGGTAGAATGACTTGACATTTGAGACGATTCAAGAAAAGACATCAGCTTCTTTAAAGATATCATTGCATACCATGGTATAATAGCTCGCTCAATTCAACAGGTATCTCAGGCACTCCAGCTGTGTGGCAGGCCCTCTCTAAGGCTTGGCAGAAGATAAATAAACATGAAATCTGGTATCACCCTATTCAACTAGGCAGGAAGAAAAGGTATATAAATTGGGCCAGGAGGAATGTCAGCTATGAAGGGTCTCTGTGCAATGGTGTAGGGCATGAAGGGCAGGTAGCATGGCCTGAGTGCAGGGAAGTGTCACTAAAGAGCAAGACATTTAAGTGCCCTATGCCTCAGTTTCCTCCTCTGCACAATGGGGTAACAGTCGTACCTTTTCAAGGGAATGTTGAAGATCACCTGAGTCAACATACAGAATAGTAACGGATTCTACTACTATTAGCAGCATCTAGCATCAGTTGGATACTAATGCTGGCTGTTACTGCCTTTGTAACTCAGTACTTGCTCAGTTCCTAGATTTAGTAGCTGTTCAATACATATTGATGAACAAATGCATTCACAAATGAATGAATAACTGATGTGATTGGCTTAAAGAGGGAAAAATCAATTATGTAAGGCATGAGCTCCTTAATAAGGCTGGCAGATCAGAAAGACTGCCATGCAAATAGTCTTTAAGAAATAGGTTTGATGTTTAATGTATGTTTCAGATCTCTAAGAAATGAATCATTCATTCTTTAGGTCTTCTGTATAGTGACCTGCCATTTTAAACAAATTTAAGGAGAAGAAATGAAGAGATAACAAAGAAATTATAGTATATCTCATACCAAGAAACGGCTAAAGGGCCCTGAAGCTCCGAAGTTAAGCTCTGTGGTGTGGGAAAGGCTGTGATGGCAGTGAGCCCCAACCACTACACACTCACCCTGCCCAAAACCAACTCAGCGGGCTTCTTCCTTAAATTATACTTACTCTAAAGAGGATAAACAAAAAACTGCCTTTAAAAGACATTAAGGGGGGCCTCCCTGGCGGCTCAAGGGGTTAAGCACAGCACTGTGAAGCTATCTGCAGCCACTGCAGCACGAGTTCGATCCCCAGTCTGCCAGGGAGCTACCCACATGGTGCAGCAGACCTCTCCTGTCTCACCCGCTGCTCCCCTCAGCAGTGGATTTCAGCCAGTCTGCCTGTTCTGCTCCCCACTCTGTCTCCAGGGAATCCTCTCACCTGCACCTCTGGCCTGTACCCCAGTTCTTGTATGCACAAACAAACCTTTAAAAAAAATAAAATAAAAGACATTAGGGATCATAAAAGTAAAACGAATTTGAAAAACTGCAAGCAGCTACTAACACAAACAGCCGCAAGGAGACCTGGGGCATGTGTTAGCTATCTAGGCCATTTTACAGAAGAGGAGACCGAGGCTCAGAAAAGGGAGTGCGCACCCAAAGTCCTAACTTCAAGAGAGGGCAAAGAGCGAGGTGAGCAGGCTGCCCAGATCCCCACACTGCAGGCCCCTCCTCTCAGAGGAGACAGATCCCACTAAGGGGGTGGGGAGAAGGCGGCATCAAGCAGAGCAAGGGTTTGAGGGCCGGTATGAGTAAAGGATGATTGTAATTAGGGAAAGTGAGAACAGGTGCAGCGGGTGCACATGGTGGAAAGAGCAGGCCCTCTGCGGTTTTTTTGGTGGGGTGGGCTCCAAACAAAGAACAATCCAGTCCAGTGCTCCTGGGGTGCAGGTGAACCCTCCCCCTCTGAGATCACTGCCTCCTCCCAGATGTTTCCTAGTCGACAGGATTTCCCATTGGAACGCAGGGCAGGGAGTGCAGAGCCGCTCAGATTCCCTCTCTTTAGGGGTTGCGCCCCCGACCCGCAGCAGAGGGGGAAGGGCTCCTGCAGAGCTCCCGCGGAAGTCGCGATGGGGCCCCCACCGCACATGCACGCGCGCGCGCACACACACACACACACACACACACACACACACACACAAGCTGGGCTCCTTCCTTCCCCTCCCCCAACTATGATCTAAGCCAGGTGAAGGCACCCAGGGCTAGAGGGTCGGTTCCCAAAGGGCTTCTGCTGGAGCCAGCGGCCCGCGCGCCTGCTTGCTCCTGCCCGCTCCGGCTCACACTCACCGGCAGGCGCTCACAAACACGCACACAGTCAGACACACACTTGGCACCCCCAGTGGCCGGGCCGCGCCCACCGCATCTCGCGTTCAGCCCCCGGGAAGCCGGCAGGCAGCGACATGAATGAAATCTGCCCAGTGAGGCTGCATTTCAGCTCCAACCACGCAATCTCTGGCCAAACCGCCGAGTATGAACAAAGTTTTATTTCGTTTTTAGAGTCTCCAGTTACCCTTCTACCATTTCCTGTGGAAAATTGAAGCTTTGAAGTGTCTAGCGTCGGCTTTCGCAGACTGGCAGGACCGCCAGCTCCATCTCTCGAAAACAAGAGGCCCCGCACCCCGCCCCCCTCGGCTCCAGAACTGCACGTTCACACCCCCTGGAGCTCCGGCCTCCAAACAGGGGTGCGCGCGAGGGAAAGACAAGCTGCTGACAGCTACCTCCTAAATTGACAACCCTCGCCAGCCCCCCCACCCCCCATCCAGCCAGAGTCCCTCGTGGCGCTACTCAGACCAAGTGGTGTCAGCTGCAACTCCCAGCCGCCGGGAATCCCGAGCAGCGAGCGCAGGGCGGCCAGAATCGCGGGCGAGGGCTGTCCCCTGCTCCGCAGCCACCAGCAGTGCGCTCCGGCCCCCCAAAACTGCCCCGGAAAAACTTGGGACCTGTAACAGCCTCCTCGTTCCACCCTCTCGCCACACACACCTCTCCCCACTTGCTCTAGGCCAAGCCAACTCTCAACCGCGCAACCCTTCCGGCCTCTCCTTCACGGGCGCACCCACAGTGCCCCCCGAGGGCGCAGGGAAGTGCTGGAAAGGGGCGGTGGGAAGAGGCATGCGCCTCCTCCCTAGTTGCAGCGTGCCAAACTTGTGCGCCCGGGAATTTGGCATCTTCAAGGTCAAAACAAACAGGCTCCGACAAAAATATGTACTGGGCGTGAAAGACTGCAAGCCTGCCCCCCCCCCCAAAAGGGTGGTGTTTTTCTTCCCACCGCCTGCGGTAGGCAGCCGCCACCCCGCCGCGCGCGCGAGCCCCGACCGCGCGCTCCCGGACGTGGGAACCGGCACGCGTCGCGCGCAGCGCGCGGCTCCCCAGGGCGGGCGGGAAGTGACAGGTTCCCCCCGCCCCCGGCGCGGTGTTCTCAGAGCGCTGGGACAGCAGCGTGTGGCCGGAAAGGCGCGGGAGGGGGCGCCGAGCAAAGTTGGGGCGAGAGTTGGCTGCGCCGGGCGCGCGGGGGCGGCACCCGCGCTGCCACTTACCGCTGGCGTTCTTCCCGCAGATGAGGTGCTGGTAGGGCTGCAGGAGCCCCCAGATCTCGGAGTCGTTGTTGACCGTGTGCTCCAGCGTCTCCACGGTGAACTTGGGCGCCTCGTGGAGCGCGTGGTGGTGGTGAAGGTGGTGGTTGGCGGCCGCGGCCGCAGCCGCAGCAGCAGCCGCAGCAGCAGCGGCCGGCGGGGCTGCCGGGGCCGTAGCGGCGGCCGGCGGGGCGCAACAGCTGCTGCCCCCGCTGGCGCTGCTGGCTGCGCTGCAGGCGCCACCGCTCGCCGCTCCCCCTCCGGGCACCTCCCGCTCCTTATCCGCTGCAGGGGCCGCGCCGGGGCCGGAGCCCGGGCCTGCGCCGGAGCTGGAGCCGGGGCCGGAGCCGCTGCAGCTCCGGGGCAGCCCGGAGGCCACCACCCGCGAGTAGATGTCCCGGAAGAGGCTCTCCATGCAGGCAGTCAGGTAGATGGCGGCGTGCTCGTGGATGCGCAGCGCCACGCGGCTGTCCACCATCCAGCGGTACACGCGGCCCACGGAGAAGGTGAGGCCGCAGCGCGCCGACTTGCCACGGCCCAGGCGGTCGCCGCCGGCGCTGCTCATGTTGTAGAGGGACAGCGCGGCCAGCGCGGCCGCCGTGCAGTGAGCCGCCAGGCCCCAGGACAGCACGATCTCCATGGCGCTCTGGATCTCGTACTTGGTGCACTTAGCGAAGCGCAGGCTCAGGCGCTGCGCCTCTTTGGCGATGCGCACCAGCGCCCGACTCACCAGCATGGACAGCTTGGCCAGCGCGTCTTTGGGCAGGCCGCCGGGGGCCGCCGGGCCTGCCCGGGGGTCCCGCGAGCGCAGCAGCAGCACCTCCAGCTCCTGGAGGGTCCAGGGGACCTCGTCGAGGTCCGGCAGCAGCCGCGAGCAGTGCTGGCCGGCGCAGTCCAGCCCCTCGGAGTCCTCCACCAGGGCAGTGTTGACGGTGTCAAAGCTGTTGTGCCGGCTGTGCATGGAGTCAGCTAGAGGCGGCCAGCAGCTCCCGCCATACGGGTGCGAGTCGGAACAACACAGGGACAAGTTGGAGGAGCGCACCGAGTCCGCCGCGCCACCATAACCCGAGTCCAGCGTCAGATCCTCCAGCGTCCTCACCACCGGCTTCTTACCTCTCCTGGCCATCGCTGCGCCACTTCATGCTGCGGCCGCCGGGGAGCCGAGGGGAAGGCAGAGCAAGAGGCAGCCGGCGCCCGGGCGCAAGGAGAGCCGAGCTCGCGCCGCCTCGGCTCACTTTTCCAGCAGTGGCTCCCAGCAAGTGTCACTACTTTGGGCCGCCGCTCGGAACCGACGCCGCCGGAGCACGCAGGGCAGACCCAGGACTCATCTCCCGGAGGCCGGGCAGAAGCCGAGGCGCACGGAGGAGCGAGCCAGGCTGCGCGGAAAGCTCAAGATGGGACTCGCCCCTTTCTGGCAGGATGGAATTAAAGTGTCTGGCCGGAGCCTCCCCGGCCCGGCTGAACGCAGAAGCCGTCCGGCGCCGGCCGCCGTGCTCGCGGGAGGGAAGCACCCCGGGGCCACCGCCGCAGCAGCTCCGCGGCCAGGCGCGCCGGCTCCGGCTCCGGCTCCCGGCCCAGGCCCGCTCCGCGCCCGCGCGCCCCGCACCGAAGCGCAGCAGCCGGCGCGTCCGCGGCAAACCCTGCCCGAGCCCGCAAACCCCGGGCGGCCGGCGGGGCGGGCGTATGTAAAGCAGAGCCGGCGGACAGCCAATGGGGTGTGAGGATGCTAATTACTTTTTTTATTCCTCGGCTCCATGCAGCCCCGCCCCTCACACACGCCCCCGGCCTTGACCGAGGCTGCAGGAAGTGGGGAGCAGAGGCCTGGGACCAGGGGGCGGAAGGGGTGCTGTGGCGGCGTCGAGGCGAGGGTCCTGCCCCCTTGACTGCTATCCCGGCCCCTCGGCTTTAGTGCCACACCGGGGGGCAGGGGTGGCAGGTTGGGCAGGTGACCCTCTCAACCACCCAGCGAGGTGTGCTCCCCCCAGTGGTTTACGAGGGGTCTGGCCTGGGGTCGCTTTCTGATCCTGCATTTCACGTTCCTTTCTCTGCCTTTAATACATGAAGGTGTTTTTTCCTTCCGCTCCAAGCTCCTCCACTTTTGGGGCCCCAAACCAATTAATGTGACCACTTGGCAGTCCCAGTCTGCTATCGTGGAGGGAAATAAGAAATCAGGAGAGCAGAGGGCTTAGGAGGGTAGCAGTCCTGGGAGGGTGAATCGCAAGATATAAGCCACCTGCAACCTGAGCACATTAGTTGTGCCACCTGGCACAACTTGGTGTTGCCCGGAGGGCTTTGGGACCATCTTTCAAAGGGAAGGTGCCGGTCCCACTTTGTCATGCTGGTAGGTATGTCATCCTGGTTCCAGACAACTCTGCCTTTCAATGGGTAAACTTGCAGGGAGTTTTCTTTTTTGACTAAAGAAAGATACGACATAGGTATGACTTAGCTGCATTTGTGTCAAATGGCATTGTCTTCTATTTGTCCCCGTCTACCAGGGCAGGAACCATAATCTTACTTCTCTGGGGAGCTCCAGCTTCCACTATCTGTGCCTGGGCACTTTGGTGGGGAGTATCTTCCAGCTTCTTCTGAATTCTCAGTTCAGAAAAGCCCTCCTACAGGAAAGTAACCCAGATCTCTCAATTCCTGCTTGGATGCTTTCGTGGGGCTCTGCCCTTCTGAGGCTATTGATTTGGGGGCTCCTGTAGCAAATGCTAGGCTCCTATGTCTAATTGATGTCTAGATTGCACACTGAGCCAGCAGTTCCCCAGGCATGGGTCTGGCACAGAGTAGGTGCTCAGTAATTATTTGTTGAAAATGGGCGAAAGAAAGGACATGCTTTTGAACTAATGGTTTGAAAATTCAACTATGGGCTTTGCCAAATAACCCAATATATGGTGTATGTTCCCCATATCTGTCAGCCCAAATCCACCATCACTCTTTCCTTCACTACAATAAACCAACTACACAGAGTGGAAATTGAAAACCACCTATCCCTTCACCCCAATAAACTCCTACCACCTGTAGCTACCATCCGATACATATGCTCATCACCTCTCACTTTTTAAAATGGTTTCCCCTTTCCTGCTTTTCTCTTCTCCAAACCACGCAATCCAAGAATCTTCCATTCCTCTCTTGAAAAAATTCAAAGTCTCCCTCCCAATCACCTTCCAGATAAGTAAAAGTTTATACTGACTAGGTGGCCTTCAGGGATTTCTTCACTCATTTCCAGATTCTCTTTCCATACTGTTCTAAACCTTTTATAAGAGATTGTGATGATTAGTTTAATGTGTCAAATTGAGTGACCCACAGCTGGCCAGATTAAAACATAGTGTCTGGGGGTACCTGAGGGGTATTGCCAATGAAATTAGCATTTAAATTCATGGACTCAGTATATTGCAGTCAGAGCATCAGCCAATCTGTTGAGGGCCCAACAGAAGCAGCCATGAAGGAATAAAGGAAAAAAAAGTCTTCACTATTTCCTGCCTCACGGATTGAGCTGGAACATCTCCATCTACTCTCCTCCAGCCCTGGGATAGGGATTTACATTAGCACTTCTCCTGGTTCTCAGGTCCTCAAACTTGAACTGGATTATTCCACCAGTTTTTCTGGTTCTCCAGCTTATAGACACCAAATTGTGGGGCTTCTTGGTCTCAGTATTCACATGACCCAGTTCCTCACATAAATCTTTATTTTTTCTGTTTTTCTGGAAAGCCAACTAATACAGGGATACATGGCCTTTAATGCCCGGACCCCTGCCTTTCTATTGTCTATGTTATCACTCTAGCCTCCTGGACATAATTACACTCACATAGACAGCTATACACAGATACACTCACACATATTTACAGAGGTACACACAGATACATGCACACACATGAACATGTATGCTCTAACCATCCTGAAATCACTTGCTGGTTCATCTGACACACCTTTGTAGACATTATTCCCTCAGCTCAACACAATGGCATCCTCTCCTCCACATGGCCAATGCATCCCCTAAGATTCAGCTCCAAGATTACCATCACTGTGAAGTTTTCTTCAATGCCTACTGATGATGCTTAGTTACGACCACTCAGTAGAGTGTCCAAAACAAGAGAACCCACGAAAGCCTCTTGTATAGGGGGGAAAAAGAGACTTAAAGTAATGGATTTAATTAACAGTGACTTGTTTTCTTCTATGGTACCTGTCAATTTGCCAATTTTCTGCCAATTTTCTAATCATGTACCCCAAGTTCATTCATTCAATCCCTTTGAATTTCCTTTACCCTGTCCTTGAAATGAACAAAATAATCACATCTGCCTTTATAAGGTTTTGGGGAGCTTTGTGAGATTTCTCTATGTACAGGAATTTAATGGTGTCCCACACATAATGACCCTATAAATTTCTGTTATTATCGTCTATGTTTTCTTATTTTCTGCAATAAACATTTCTTATAGAGTCAGGAAAAAAAAATCGCAAGTGCTACATATAAAATCCAGCTCATCTTTCAAGGTTGGGCTGAAATGCCCCCTCCTCTAGGAGAATTTGCCAAATCTCATCAGATGTGTTCTTCCCTTTTATGCTCTTCCCTTTTATGCTCCTCTCACCTTCCAGAGGACTCCTAACTGAAATCTGGACTTTTGTCCCCTAACACAGCCCCACTGATCACAAGTGTGTCCCTTAGTATTATGAATGAACCAAAGCTTGCATCCCTCTCATTTACCAAAGTAAATCATTAACAATAATGTTAAGTGTCTGAAGGTGGGTGACACCAGACTCTGAGAATCATAAATGTAAAATATTGATCCCATACTTTTAGAAAATCCCATGACTGCAAAAAAAAAAAAAAAAAAGATGGAGAAGAAAATTTAAATAATCCAAAATCCCATCTCACAAAGGTCATCAATATTAACTACTTCTTATTTTTCCTTCTCATTTTTCTCTTTTTCTTCTCAACATATATATTTTAACAGAGTTGGAATTAGTCTATAAATTATTTTGCATTTTGATTTATGTCCTCAAGAAATTTCCTCAAACTTTATATTATAATCATTTTCCCATGCTGTTAAATATTCACCCCAAAAACTTTTAGGCCACCAAATATTTCAATATGCTTATACCTTAATTGGTCTGTTGATTCCCCATTTGGTTGTTTCTGTTTTCTTTTTTAAAGATTTATTTATGCATACAAGAGCTGGGGTACAGGCCAGAGGTGCGGGGGTGGGGGTGAGAGGATTCACCAAAGAGAGAGCAGGAAGCAGAACAGGTGGATCCACTGAAATACACTGCTGAGGGGAGCAGCAGGCAAGACAGGAGAGGTCTTCTGCACCATGTGTGTAGCTCTCTGGCTGGGGATTGAACTCTTGCTGTGGAGGCTGCAGATAACTTCCCAGTGCTGTGCTTAACCCCTTGTGCCGCCAGGGAGGCCTCTGCTTCTGTTTCCTAACTGGTAAAGCTGGGATAAACCTCTTTGTACATAAATAACACTCTCCCTTATCGCTGGGAGTCTTCTATCTCTTATCCTCTAAGAAATTAAAATGAGCAATAAACAGAGAATGAGATTTAAAAATAAGGGGGAAAGCTAAGAATTAAATTCTTGTGATTGTTTTCCCTATCAGATTAGCCAAGATTTATAAAGGCGGTCATGATGAATGGGAGTCACAATAGGACATAAATTGGGTCAATCTTCTGGGAGGGCAGTTTGCCAAAATGTATCAAAATGTCAACATGCATTGCTTGTGCCTTCCCAGAAATTGTATGTTCTAATGTTACCCAAGGTGGTCCTTGTGAATTTTTTAAAATTATGCAGAATAGTCTTGGGAATGTTGTTTTCACATAGGACTTTGGAAATAACCAAAGCATCTTTCAATAAAGGCAGATGAAATGGATTATAATAATTCCTACAAGGAAATATTAGGCAATTACAAAGACTGGTGATGGTGATCTTTATTTCCATGACATATTGGGGAATGAATAAATTATTGAAAATAGGTTTTGCAATTGCACTTATAATGTGATCCCATTTATGCAAAGTGCTTTACATAGAGCTAAATATGTATATAAGTATGTAAACTTGCCTGAAAAAATGGAAATGATAGCTATAAGTAGTTTTTTAAAATCTAATCCTACCCCTTCTTCTTATTTTGTTCTGTGGTGATTTTAATTTTCCTCTTTGTACTGTTTACAACAAACAGGTATAATTTTTATCAGAGCCAAAAAAGCTGTTTTCAAAAGAAAATGAAATTATTTTCTGTCCATTATTCTGAAGTCTGTCTGAAGTTGATCAAAGCACTAATGTAATCCTTTGTCCTTCAGCCTTCTAGAAACCAGACAGCAAGCATGGCAACTAAACCAGCAATGAAAACGGGAGTCAACCCCTTCATTTGGACTTACCTGTGTTGGGTACTTCGTCACCTGCTCCCTAAGCATCTTTGGAAAGTGAGCAGCAAGGTCACTGGGTTTGAAGTCTGGCACCAGTACTTCTCAGCTATGTAATCCTGAGCAAGTTCCATAACCTCTCTAAGACTCACCGAGCCTTGGTTCCTGATCTTTTATTGGGAATGATAACACCACATGCCTCTATAGGCTGGCTCTGAGGAGTAAGTGAAATCATTTGAACAGTGTCTGGCCACCATTGGAAATGGTTACTCATGTAGTT